AACAACCATTAACAATGGACAGTTCGTCCCTTTTAACATAAAATAATTTTGACCTTAGAAGGCCATGATTTGCAAGCAGGCTGGCATACATTCCTATGGGATGATAAAAATAAAACGCACAAATACTTTCAAAATCACACACCCTGCAACCAGACCGAGCTCCAAGCATTCCTCGGACTACTCAACTTCTACAACGTTTTTCTCAAACAGAAGGCCATGGTTGCTGAACCTCTGCATCAGCTCCTTGGCAAAAAGGCAACATGGACTTGGGGCAGAGCCGAAGCTGCCGCATTTGCTGAGGTGAAAAAACTACTGTCAGCGGACACGTTCCTGGTCCAGTACAACCAGACTTTGCCACTTGTACTGACTTGTGACGCCTTGCCTTTTGGCATCGGAGCCGTCCTCAGCCACCGCATGCCCAACAGAACCGAGGCACCCATCAACTACTACTCAAGGACTCTTTAAGCTGCCAAGAGGAACTACAGCCAACTGGACCAGGAGGCTCTGGCTGCTGTAGCTGGAGTCAAACGGTTCCACGAGTACTTATATGGTCGTGATTTCGAAATCATCACGAACCATAAACCACTTCTGGGACTACTGGCTGGGGACCGACCTACACCTGCTTCATTGTTACCGCGGATGACCCGTTGGACTATTTTTTTAGCTACAGTTACCGCCTCATCCACAGACCGGGCACCACACTGGGGCATACTGACGCCCTCAGTTGGTGCCCCCTACCAGAACTGCTTGCAGATCCAACTCCCGAGACACCGGTTCTGCTCATAGGCTGCCTGGAAGCTGGCCCTGTCTCCTCCAGTGAAGTCACCCACCACTCAGCTAAAGACCGGACTCTGAAACAGGTTTTGAACTGGGTGTGGAGGGGGTGGCCCAAGGGACCGGTTGGGCCAGAGTTTAAAATGTTTTATGTTAAAAGGGACGAACTGTCCATTGTTAATGGTTGTTTACTGGGGGTGTGTGTGTGTTGGGTTGTTATTCCAGAAAAACTGTGAGTTGCAGTATTAGAAGCATTACACGTGGGACATCCTGGAATTGTCTGGATGAAATCATTGGCCAGGAATTTACGTATGGTGGCCTAACATGGATAAGGAGATTGAGGAATGGGTGGCTACCTGCACACCGTGCCAGGAGTCCAGACCCCCCCCCCCCAGGTGCCCGCTAAGGAGTGGGAGCGACCTCTAGCACCATGGTCTAGGGTGCACATTGACTTTGCCAGCCCAGTTCACAGCCAAACATTCATGGTAGCTGTGGACGCATAGTCAAAATGGCTAGAGGTAGTCCTGATCACCTCGACCACAGCAGAAGTGGTCATTAAGGCACTACGAAGACCTTTCTCCATGCATGGCCTACCTGATGTCTTGGTCTCAGACAATGGCCCCCAGTTTACAGCTATGCAATTAGAGACCTTCCTAGCAGCACAGGGAATCAGGCATGCCCTGGTCGCGCCATTCCATCTGGCCAGTAATGGACAGGTGGAGAGAATGGTGTGATCTGCTAAAGAAGCCTTATCTAGGATGGGGCCGGGGGATTGGCAAACATGGGTTGACCAATTTCTATTAATTCAACATATCATGCCGAGTGCTACCACCGGGAGAAGCCCTTCCGAACTTCTAATGGGTCACCAGCTAAGGTCGCACTTAGAGTGGTAACACCCAAACTACTCTGCTGTGACACCCCCTGATTCAAGCAGCAAGATTAGACAGTTTAGTGTAGGGCAGTGGTCCCCAACCCCCGGTCCGCGGACCGGTGCCGGGCCGTGGAGTACCTGGCACCGGGCCGCGCAGCGGCCGGGGGCCATGCAATGGCCGACTCTTCACTCATGCAGCGCCGTCGCCGGAGGGGGGGAGCTGCGCGGAAGCACAGGAGCAAGTGAGGCGAGGAGGAAGAATCCCCCGCTACTACACCACCTCCGCCCCCTCCCCGAGTCAGCCGTCCCCTCAGTGAACGCCTCCGCCTCTTTCTCCTTTCTCGCCTCAGTCGGCTCGCCTGGAAGCGAGGCGAGGACGGGGCGGACCATGCGCTGGAAGCGGAGCCCTTGGAGGCCCTGGCGGCTTCCCCGGCGGTCGTTGCTGGCCGCTCTCTTCTTTTTCTCGCTGTCCTCCTCGGCTCAGTCGTCTCCGAGTTGCCCAGGGAGGGGCGGCGTGCCCGGGACGGAGACGGCGCTTCCCCACCCGGCCTTGGCTTGTGAGAAGGAGAGTGAGAGGTAGAGAGAGAGAGAGAGAGAGAACGTCGGGCAGCCGAGGGCGGTGGGCTCTCCTCTTTTGAGGGGAGATGGGGGGTGCGCAATTTTGGCGCGCGTGCGCCCTCCGCGCATGGTGGAAAAGCGGCGGTCTTGCCCACCCCTTCCCTGCCTCCCGCCCGCTCCAGTTGCCGCAGCCAGGGGTGGGGGCTCGGTGCCTGAAGTCTCTTGCCTCTCTTCCAAAATTTCGCCAACGGGCATCGGTGAAGCGCGCTCTTTCTCTTCCTCACAAAACACATTTCCTTTCCCCCCACGCGTAGTTATTGGCGATATGGACTCTTGGACTCTTACCCAGCCAGATCAGTATCAAACATTTCCCTGACCTCAGCAGAAGCGAGGTTTTTTCTTCTCCTTTCTCTCCTTAATACTGTATTCTTTTTACATTGCTATCCTCTGGCTTATTTAATTTTGCCCTTGCTCTTTTTATCTTTGACCTTGATTAATTCAGCTGTTTACTCCTTAAAATCTACATACAAAATGGAAGGTGGGATATGATTCAGGTGTTGAATTGGGAAGGTGGATTTAAAACAACGTCCCCCCACCCCTGCGCGCGCTCAGCGGGCCACGGTAAAATTATCAAAGGCTGACTGGTCCGCGGCGATAAAAAGGTTGGGGACCACTGCTCTAAGGCAATCTAGAGAGTAAGGTTGGTTTTGGCCAGCAGCCTCCTTTGTAAGTTAATGTCCCAAACACCACATATAATGCAGTCTAGGAGGAACTCATCCAGGTCTCTGAACTCATAGTATACTGCAGCTTTTTGGAGCGTGGCAACATATTGATTTATTGTCTTGACTTCCTTCTGGTACCTGAGGTTGAATTTGTGCCTCCTTATGTATTTTGATGGTCTGGGAGTGTAGTGCGTCCTCAGCATCTGTTGGAGCACTGACCAAGCGACCGAATGGAGTGGCATTGGTTCAGATAAATCCTTTGCCACCTCGAACACCTCGGGTCTACAGTAGCTTAAAAACATTGCCTTCTTCCAGCCTTCAGACAGGCCCAGGAGGTCATTGGCTTCGAGGAAGCCCTTTTATAGGGCTCCAGCAGGACCTTTGACCAATCAGGTTTGAATGAGTTCCTGCTGGTAACAGCGGATCTTGGTGGCAACTACTTACATTGCTATTCACATGCAAAGTGCTCAAAGTACTTAACAATAATTTCTCTAAAATGCCGGCAAAAGTCTCCGGACCTCACAGCAGGGAAGGTAGCCATTGCGAGCTGTCAAAAGCTGAGGTGGCTGCAACAAAGAGAGAAGACTAACGTGGCGGAACATCTGGGTGAGAATAAAAGGCTTACTTGAAATACAACTTTCCTATAACTACTTTAACTCCTGGTTGAAAACTTTTAAAAGAAGAGAGGCAGGAGGGGGGGAGCGGGCTGTGGCAGGCTCCTCCACCCCAGATTCAGTGACGAACAAACTGAGCCATGAACGATACAAAGAATAAAGGGAATGAATAGACTTTGAGAATTGTTAAAGGAACAGAAAGCAAATTGGAAGGAGAGAGTTTTGATTTTTTACTACTGAGATTTTAAAACTGAATGACTTGGTAAACTTTGAGATTTGCTTTTGGAAGCCAGAAGCTAGAGGCTGAATATTGTGAAACTGCCGGCACTGCCATCTAGTGGCATTAGAGGGGAATTTAATAACATTAAATGGCTGAAAAACAAAGGAAACTGATAAGAGGGAACTGACCTTGAACTGTTGTTGAGTACATAGGCTGAAGATAAAAAGTCCCTTCAAAACAAAAAGAAAAGAAAGGAAACAAGACCAGCTGTATAAATCGTATGTTGTCTTTCCCTGCCACCTTATTTGGACTGTTGAGACTGTGTTTTTTCTTTCTTGTTTTTTTTTTAAATTGTGCTTTTTTCCCATCTAACTGGAGGAACCTGGGGGAACTTGGATAACCTGGATAATTTGCTTTCCTTTTCTTTTTCTTTTCTCTTTTCCCCTTGTTCTTTTTATGGATTACCACTGTAGAACTACTTTTTTTTTCCTTTTTTTGTGGCATCATTTTTTCTCTTTTTCCACCAGCCTTTGTGATGTGATAGGGGAGGCTTCTTTTTTCTCCCTTTGTTTTTTTCTTTTCTTCCTTCTTTTTTCCTTCTTTTTCTCTTTTTTTCTCCCCCCCCCCCAATCTTGTCC